CCCCCCCCCGGACCGAGTACCGGGCGCACGGCCGACGGACTCCCGACGGGGGGGGGGGCGGCACCCTGGGTGATCGCCTCATTCGCCCACTCGGCGCCCGTCCGGGCCCGCGACCTCCGCACCATCCCCGGCCCCCCACCCTGGGAGAGACACACCACCGGCCGACATCCACTGCTCCATCCTCGGGGACCGGGCCCCGGTGTCGCTTCAGATGCATCCCCCAGGAGAAGTCTCCCCCACCCGGCACTCGGGGGACCCAGGTGCCCATCTCTCTCTCTCCCCCTCTCTCTCTCTCTCTCTCTCTCTCTCGATGTGACAGGTTCCCCGTCCCTGACCCCCGCCTCCAGAAGAGCGGCTCTACGCCGCCCTCACGGCACATTGCGCTCGTGATCCGTGCGTTCTGATGAAGCGAATGCATTGGCACATGGCAGGAGAACACACTGGGCTCAAGCAGGGCGCCCGAAGCCGGCCGCGAGGGAGGGGCCAACACACCGACGACGGGCAGGCAGACGCGGAGAAAGGCACCCCAAGGGCCCCGGCGACCCCGGACATGCGCTATTTCTCCGATCACCACGTCAGGGCGTGCTTCCCCCCCCCCCCCTTTCGAAGAGCCATACGTCTCCGGGGCTGGCAGCGCCCGAGATGCCCGGGCAAGTCTGCCCCCGACTCTACCCCCCCCCCCCCCCCACACACACACACACACACAGCCCGGCCCCCGCCCCTTTTCCTTTTGGACGTCGCCTTTTGTCTGTCTATCGGGATGATTGTGTATCTCATACGTGTACACATTTTATTGGCAGAAGGGAGAAAACATACGAAGGTGCGCGCGCCATCGCACTCTCGAGCGCGAGCATCTACATGTGCGCGGGCGCATGTGCGTACAGGTATAAGAAATGTGTACTTACACACATACACACATGCACACACGCACACTCACACCGGACACCGTCGCAGCAACAGAAAGGAGGAGTGGGGACATTCAAAGGGCAAGGAGGATAAGGGCGGTCCCCGGAGGAGAATAGAGCAGAGGGGGGAGCAAGGGGGAAACGAGGAGCAAGGGGGAAAGTGGGAAGACAAAAACGCAAGAAGGGGGGGGGGACTCATGGGAGAGCCCCGCCCCCCTCTCTCCCCCCTCTGCCGGAGGCGGTGCGGTGCGCACACAGCACCACGCACATGCGCGATGCGCGATGCGCGATGCGCGATGCACGCACGGCTCTACTTCTTCTTCTTCTTCAGGGGATGGTGCTTCTTCTTCTTCTTCTTGTCGGCCGAGGCTGCACCACCATCGGCCCCATGCTTGGCGGTGATCGGCCGATGGGAGTAGAGCTTCGTCTGGCCCCCGTCAACGGGTGACCGCGTGTTGGAGAAGAGGTTCGCCGTGTCGATCTCCCCCGGCATCAGACGAGACTTGCCGGTGGCGGATGCCGCCGGCGGGGGCTTGGTGGTGTCACCCAGGCCGGGCGAGTCGGAATCGGAGCCCGACGAGGAGGAAGATGAGGAAAAGCCCGAGGAAGAGGAGAAGGAGGAAGAGGCGCCACCGGCAAAGGCCGACGCCGGACCACCGGTGAAGGCGTGCATGATGGACGGGTCGTAGACAAAATCGTCCTCCAGACCGTCGCTCTCGTCGGCCGAGGCCAGTCGCCGGAGCTTGGCCATGAACTGGGCCTCAGTCAGCCGGTCGACCGCCTCCTCCGGGGTGGCCACCTCCTCCGGGGCCATGCGCGACTCCATGGTCCGCAACAACGCCCGGTAGAGATCCGCCTCGGGCCGAGAGACCGCCGGGTCGTCGGCCGACTGACGCAAGAGCACAATCACCAGCTCGTTGATGATGTCGGTGAAGATGTCATCCGGCGATGGATCGCCCTCCTGCACGCCAGAAGCCTCCTGGGCGTCGAGCAGCTCCAGGTGTGCCAGCACCCGGGTGTACTTCTCCGGCGACGCCATGGCGGCCGCTGTGAATTATTTGGCCGATGTGAAGAGGTCTGTGGGTTTGGGGAGCAGAGGGGGGGAGAGAGAGAGGGGGAGGGAGAGAGGGGGGGAGAGAGAAGGGGAGAGAGAAGGGGAGGGAGAGAGAGGAGGAGGGAGAGAGAGGAGGAGGGAGATAGACAGAGAGAGAGAGAGAGGGAGATAGACAGAGAGAGAGAGAGATAGACAGAGAGAGAGAGAGAGAGACAGAGAGAGAGAGAGAGATAGACAGAGAGAGAGAGAGAGATAGACAGAGAGAGAGAGAGAGAGAGAAGAGGAAGAGGGTGCAGCGCCAGCAGCAGCGAGGGGAGGCACGCGTGTGAGGACAGGGCACGGATATGAGCACGCAAGGACGGCCAGCGAGGCGGAGAGGCGCAGGTGAAGGATGGATATGGCGAGAGCGGCACGGTGTCCGTTTTCATGGAGGGAAGGCGCACACATCGGACACCCAGGCGCCGGGAAACAAGGCGAGAAGAGGAGAGTGCGAGCACAAGCAAGCGGGAGAAGATGGAGCAAGAGGGGGAGGAGCGCGACGTATCGGGAACAGGCCCGGGATGCGCAGAGGGACGAACAGAGAAAGAGAGAGAGAGAGAGAGAGAGAGAGAGGGGTGGGGAGGGGGTGTGAGCAGATGGAAGTGCAAACAGGAGGCCATTGAAAGGGCCCACTCCGTCCCCCGCTCGCACCATCCCCCCCACTCGAGGGAGCGGCGCAAAGGAAGTGTGGGAGAAGGAGAGCCGGAACGCACTGCGAAGCTTGGAGAGGAGAGAGTCGCTCGGGGCCGACGCCTCGGTCGAGTCAGCGCCCGCCGAGGGGGCAGCCGCCGCAGCGGCACCACCATCGTCAGAGCCAGCGGCCGGGGTGCCACCCTCACCGGAGGCCGTGGCCTCGGGGCTGGAGGAGTCGACCGGGGCCGTGGTGGTGGCAGTGGCGGCAGCGGCCGCCGCCGCGGTGGCAGCCTCCTTGGCCGCGCCCGCCCTGGCCGCGCCCTCCCGACGGGCGATGATGGCCCGCGCCGCGGCAGCCGCCTCGGCAGCCGCCTCCGGCCCCGGGCGCATGCTGTCGGCGAAGGTGCGCAGGAGCACCGTCTGGGCTTCGGTCAGCGGCCGCTCGCCCAGGGCCCCGGGCATGCGGACATTGATCGACACAACATGGTCACCGCGGCGCGGACGCCGGGAGCTGTGATCCGACACATAGGGCACACCCAGCCGCGGGAGGCGGATCTCGGCCCCGGTATTGGACCCGGCCGGCACATCGACCAGCTTCGTGCCGTCGATGGTGTTGACCGGGAGCCCCTGGATGCCGAGCAGCGCGTCGGCCAGCGAAATGTCCACCCGGGCCACGATGTCGTGCTCCTTGCGCTCCCAGCCGCGGGTATTGTCACGGGTGGCCACCTGGAAGACCACGGTCAGGTCCCCGGGCGGGCCCTTGCGGGAGCCGGCCCCGCCGCTGCCGCCAATCTCCATGGCATTGCCGTCGGCCATGCCGGGAGGCACCTTGATGGTCACGCGCTTGTGGTCCAGCACCACGCCCTCGCCCTCGCAAGGGTGGCACAGGAACTCCTCCTGCCCGGTGCCATTGCACGAGGGGCACATTTGCACGTAGGAGGCATTGAGGAAATTCTGCCGGACGAATTTGCTCCCCCGGCACTGGGAGCACACCCGCGGCCGGGTGTTCTTGCTGGTGCCGGCTCCGGAGCACGAGGGGCAGGTGACCGCCGCGCGGAACTCCACCTCCTTCTCGCACCCGGTGATGGCCTCCACCAGAGTCAGGCTGACATTGGCCACGACATCCTCGCCGCGTCGGCGGAACATGCCGCCCGGGCCGCCGCCCATTCCCTGGCGCATCATGTTCTCCAGGATGTCGGAAAAGATGTCCCCACTGCCGTGGCCGCCATGGCCGCCGGCCCAGTTGAAGTCGAACCCGAAGCCGTCCATGCCACCGGCGTTGGGCCCGACCCGGCCAGCCTCAAGCAGTGTGTCATACTGGGCGCGCTTCTCCTTATCGAGCAAAATCTATCCCGGGGGGGGGGGGAGGAGCAGAGTGAGTCGTGTGTCGGCAACGTCAAGAGAATTGAGGCACGGGTGCAAGAAACAGTGGACGGGGGAAGAAAGAGAAGAAGGACAGAGGGGCGCATGAATCTCATGTGCACACGGGCACACAGACAGACACCGACAGATACAGACAGACACAGACAGACACCGACAGATACAGACAGATACAGACACAGACAGACACCGACACACACGCACCTTCTTGGCCAGCAGGGCTTGCTGCAGCTTTTCCTGGTTCGAGTGGTCACCCTGGTTGCGATCCGGGTGCGCCTCGCGGACGATCTGGCCCGGCGGAGAAGGCACAATGAGAGGAAAGGGGGGAGGGGGGATCGGGGGGGGGGGGTCAGGCAATCGCAACACCAGGTGGAGGAGCACAGAAGGCAGGCAGAGGAAGGATCATGCATACCCGGGATGAAGCGGACTTGATCTCGGCATCGGTGGCATTCTTCGAAACGCCGAGGACGTCATAGAGATTGAGCTTGAGCGCCTCCTCGGTGAGATTGCGCCGGACAACCGACGGCCCGGCGGTGGAAGAGGGAGGCTGAGTGTTGAAGGCCAGCCGGCTGGCGGCGAAGAGGCCACCCGAGCGGGCTGCCATGGCTGACGGGGGGGGGGGAGGAGGAGGAGAAGGGGATCAGTCACTGTGTGCGTGGGGGTGGCGGCGTGTAGGTGACGGGGCACAAGCAAACGCACTGGCCGAACGCAGGGAACCAGCCCGACGGCCCGCGGAGCCCAGGGCGGACATCAGGAGCGACATGGCGGAGGGGAGGAGGGGAGAGAGGGAGGGAGAAGAGGGGAGTTTGCCGAGAGCCGAAGCGCGTGGTGGGTATAATCAGGGATCGCAGGCAGACAGGTGCGCAATCAGAGTGCAGGGGAGCGGGGAGGGGGGAGGATCGCCCGGCAGATGCCTTGATAGGGAGGAGGGGGGAATCAGGCTCGAACGGGGCGAGGGGCGAGGGAGAGAGAGGGAGAGAGAGGCGAGGCAAGTTGAAAGTGGCCTCGAAAGTGCGAGATACTCGGACCCCTTTGCGTTTTTTTTCTCCCCCCCCCCCCCC